ATCTGGGCAGATTTTCAGATTTTTCTGTAGTCGACTTCGTGGGTATATTTTGGCCGAATTCCTTGGAGTTATGGGGAGATTTTTGGTGGTAATTGAAGAGGACATTGTTGGCTTTCCAACGGTATCCAAATCCGACGGTCTTGATGGTTGGAAGTTGCCGGAAAATCGTCGCAAAACTTGCCCAAAAAATCTGAAAATTCAGTGACCGTTTGTGAAAGAAATTTAAACTTCAGTGACCGTTTCTTTAAGTTTTAAACTTCAGTGACTGTTTTGTGATTTTCAGGATAGTGACCGTTTGTGAAATTAACTCAATATTTCAAATAATATATTTAAAATTTAATGACAAATTAGTCTTTTTTAACATAAAATTTTATTACAAATTGATCTTTTACGGAAAAAAATTGAATGAAAAAAACAGAAAAGAAGTTGTAAGAATTTTTAATTGCAAATATTTTTTTATTTTATTTTTCTGTCTAGAGAACGAAAAGAAACAATAAAAAAGAGAGAAAAAAAGGAGGAGAGTAATAAACTTTTAATCCTGACTGTTAGGGAAGAAGAAAGAGAATATTAAAACGACAAAAAATACATTACAAATCTTTTGTTAAAGTCTCTTAAAATCTTGGGATGAATGAAATACATATTTTGAAATTTTTTTTTGTACCTTTTGCTTTAAATTGGTACTCTGGAGTTTTTTTTATAAAAGTAAAGTCATTAACATTTTGAATACCACATTATTTTTAAAGACTTCTAAAAAGTTTCAATTGAATACATCGAAACTTTAAAAACTTTTTGAAAGTCTGTGAAATTCTCTATTGAATACATTGTGACTGTTAAAAGAGTTTAAAAAGTTTAAATTACGAATGCCCGTAAACTTTTTAAATCCTTAAAAGTCTCAATTGAATACATTCTCTAAACGGCGGTGGAACTTGAGATTTGGTGCAACCATAAACCACCTAATCTAACAAATTCTTTAAATTGTCTCTTGCTAATCAAGATTCTTGGCTTGAACTGAAATGTGTGGCATCTGAATCCACAGGTGATGGACATGAGCAATGGATTCAAGAAAATGCTGATTTTAATCATGTTTACTTAGGTGGAGACAGTGCTGGAGCCAATATAGCACACAACATGGCCATAAGATTTGGTCAAGAAAAGTTGCATGGGATCAATCTAGATGGAATTTTTCTTAACTGTCCATTCTTTTGGGGTAAAGATCCAATTGGGAATGAAGAGACATCCCTAGTATATAAGAAGAGTCATGTGGATAATTTATGGGTCTTTTCTTCTCCAAACACTACAGGTTCAGATGACCCTTTGATTAATCCTGCCATGGATTTGAATCTTTCAAAACTGGGGTGCAAAAAAGTGCTTATTTATGTTGCAGAAGAAGATATTCTGAGAGATCGAGGTTATTATTACAAGGAAGCATTGATGAAATGTGGGTGGGATGGAGAGGTAGATATTGTGGATGTAAAGGGGGAGAACCATGTATTTAGTGTGTTTTTCCCTAATAGTGAAAATGGCAAGGCTATGATGAAAAGAGTGGCTTCTTTCATTAATCAGTAGTTTCAGTACTAAGAGTAGAAAAAGAAGTTAAAACTCTCGCTTGTTTGTTGCACTGTCAAGTCGTGTCGTACGTTTTATTTGCTGAGCAGTAGCTCGAGGTGCTCTCATATGGACTGCTAGTTTAATAGCTTGTAATAATTTGGTGTTGAATGGAAATTTTAAAATAAATTGTTAAAGAGTAATTCTTGAATTCCACTGGCATCTCTTACTTTATAGTTTAGAACATGTATGGAATGGTTGATTGGAATGTGTGAAGGTATGAAGAAGTTAGTCTATGAGTAAAATAAGCAGATACAATCAAAATAAAGTGGGGTTGGGAATCGATTTTATAAAACTCAATTCTTGGACCACTCTAAGCATAAACTTTTTTGTACTTGTTTTTCTAACTTGAGCGTCGAGCGTGTATACCCGCTCGTTGTGATAGTTCTCCTCTTGATTTCACTATATGTCTAGTACATGGGTGTATAGAGATGGTTGAATATACTTTTTGTGTAAANCGTGTATACCCGCACGTTGTGATAGTTCTCCTCTTGTTTTCACTATATGTCTAGTACATGGGTGTATAGAGATGGTAGAATATACTTTTAGTGTAAATAATCACCTATCAAACATGTAATTAGATTGGCACCATTGTCAAAGTGCAAGGAAAGTCACCAACCTAGACTCATTGCCTTCTTATTAGTTATGGACCAATGTAAGGTACAACTATAACTTTTTGGTCCTCCGTTGAATTCGCGCAATATTTTTGACCCTGGAATCGAATTTGTTATTTTTTACAATCTATTCATTCTGACATGTCTAACGAGTAGCAAGTTTATAATGCGCAATAAGTAAGTACAATAATATGCATTCATTTGCAGAATTGATTCATACTACTCTTGTTCGTAGCCACTCATTATCGCATTGTACGTGCTGTCCTCCCCACAATTAATTCTCAAGGCGTCAAATGCAAAGTCAAAATCGAAATATTAGATGTATATGGTGACATATTTGAAGTGGATAAAATAGTGTTGAAATATGCCTTTGATGGCATATTTTATTTCTTCTAGATATTGAAAGATTACTTGTATTGTTAACTCGAGTTTCTAAAATAAATATTCGATTTCAATTTGGGTTCGGATCCCGTAAATATGTGAACTCGAATGATCTCATTTATGAAATACTTGCGAAGTGTAATGAGTGGCTTCGAGTATTGAAATACTCAATCAACCCACCCAACGCAAGAACTTGCCGACAAGTCCAAAAACCATTTTTCTTTGTTTTCTTTACCAATGGTTACAAATGCAACTGAAATACTCCATGATTTTTCCACAGTGATCCGAATATACAAAGACAATCGAGGAAAGAATTGATGGAACACATATTGTTCCTGAGTAACAATTAGAAACTGAGGTTCAATCCAAAGACGTCGGGATTTCATCGGTATTTCTTACATTTACTGTATAGAACTTGTTTGAATTGGTTTTTTTGGGAAGTAACATTCATTCTGCATATTATCGAACTAGTTTTCATATTTGTTCATTTTTGTCAAAATTCCTTTCATAATTTGATCGTATGAGTGTCTACAATGAAATAATTTTGACATTTCTCGCTACCTATCAAAATATAAAGAATTAGATGACCGAGTCCGTGGAAATCCTAAATTTCTTTAATCACATATCGCATTGAGGAAGATCGAGGAAAAGTAATAATTCAAAATTTTTTTTTCATTGGAAAAAAATGAAGAAATGAGGAACCATACAATTAGCTAACAAAAGGGAGACATCCGTTGATTGCAAATTGATGCTACCAAAATCCGCACCTGCATAATCTCGAGTTTGAGGACGAGGAATGAACACAAGCAGTATCTCCGTTGATAATTGCAGATAGGTGAAATAGAATTTTCAGTACCTGAAACAAAGGTTTCGAGATGTGTCATCAATGTCAATCCGATACTTGACTTAGAGAGAGAATTTATGCTTAGGGCTGTGAACTGAAAAATATGTAAAATGTACTTGAATGATGAATCTTGATTCTACATTTATAGAGTTCGGTGGCTAGATCCTTTAAGGATTAAATCACTTGGTATCCCTATCCTTATCATATAAAGTGATTAGGTTATAAATTACCTTTTGGGATTTGACTTGAATTGTAAGATGTTGAACATTTGGATAAGGATGAATGTAAAGAATTTGAGTTATGAAAGGACTAAAACTTTTAAAAGGCACGAGATAAGGGCATAAAGAGTAGTACCACCAATATTAGGCCCGACCCTACCAATATCTGATCGACGGGCCCCGACCACTCTCCTGGCTATACGTGAAGGCTTGGGTTCGGGTCATGTTTTTTGTGCACATCACAAATTATTTTTATTCCTTCTAAAAATGGAGGCTATTCTGTAATTGTTTGAATGTCAGGGGTGCTGATGTAATAATCAAAAACCTTGAGGGTAGTGTGTAATTTAGTCCCTATTTGACACCCTTTAAAATAAAATAATTTATTTTTCATATTAATTTTTAACTACATATTCATAAATAAAATTTTCTACAAGTGAATCTAATTATTATTATTATTATATATTATTTTTTCCCTTTTTAGCCACAGGTATTCAAAAAATTAGTATACAAAAGAGTTAATTGTTTCAACGGTC